GCACCTAAAAAGAATGAGAAAGCCTAGTACCAGGGATGTGATGCCCTATTAATGCAAGCCCACACCCAGCACATGGTGCAAGTCCATAAAATAAGGGGCTCCAAAGTGGTTTAAATTCTCCCGGGCCGTGAGAAATGACTCTGACCTTCCATTTGGATGGTAAACTGCCCTCACAAATTGCTCTCCCTGCCCAGAGTTACAGCCATTTGGGTGACACTCACCTGCTGCTCCTCATCCACTTAACACCTGGGGAAGAATGAAAAGCAGACAGGGCACAACTGGAAAATGGAAATTTGTTACCAAGATTATTTCTACTTGCAGGATGCAACAGTTTGGGCCTGACAAGACAATACTACGCCATGTATTTTACAGAATTAAAACCTGCTAAATTTAGGTAGCACACACAGGACTTTACAGTTTAATAAGGAATATCTTTCACCCTAATTATCACCTAGTATCACCCTACAGATGGTGATTTCTGTCAAGAGACTTCTACTCCTTAAGTCACATAAGGGAGGTTATACCATCTTTTTAGAAGGGAAAAGATAAATATATTCTGCAACAAGACATCAGGACTAAACAATCTTCTGTTAAGAGTTTCAATGAGCAGCCTGTTGAAATTTGTGCCCCRAATCCATCTGTGCTTAAACTCTCATCTAAATTCTTCTCCAGCTTTCAGAAAAGCAGCGCTCTCCAAAGGGCCTCAGAGCATTTAGAAAGCAGCGCAGCTCCCACGGCAGCTCTCAGCCCAGCTACGCACGCAAAACTCGAGCGCCTTGTCCTCTGTAACCAGCAATTTGCCGGCTGCTCCCCCAGGCAAGGGGGCCAGCACTTGGTATTCAGAGCACTTGGCCATCTTCGGGTCACGCAAAGACAAATTCCTGCTGTTCCACAGCAAAAGCAGCCCTCTGGCTCTCACCTGCTGCCACTGAAGAAATGCATCRATAACTATAAGCAGGGACAATCCCTCATAGCCTATGGACAGCAGTGTAACATGCTTTGATATGCAAGATGCAGCAAATGCCTCCGAAGCTGTCGCTTTGACTAGGGTCTGATAGGCAAGGAAAGCAAGGGGACAAAAACCAGGAGGAACTTTCTGCTATCAGAGCAGCAAAGGGACACAAGTAATTCTGCTGCCAGCAGGAGGAAGTCCTTCAGATCTTGCTGCAGACTTTGTTGCTGACTTTGTGACCTGTTGATACAAGCATAGCTGAAAGAAAAAAGATCTTGGTGATTTGCAGGTCTCCAATATTACTGCTGCTATTCAGGCTCCAGGCTTTTGCCTATTATTTTGCCTATTTGCTTGATTAAACATAAGTGAAAACTGATAATCACTTCTCTTGGGCTTCCCCAAGGCAGAGAGACAGCACTGAGCAGCACCAAGGACACTGTAAAAGCAGCCAGTGCAGGAAGTCTGCCTTTACTTTGGAAGCTACTTAATACAACTATTAAAAAAAATCTTATAGATTAGATAGTGAGGTTGAAAGCACAAACTCAGTGTTTAGGTGAACATTTTTCAGGGCTCCTCAAGGCAAGACACCTTTTTGGCAGGACAGAGAARCATTCCTCCACTTCTCAAGTGAGTATTGCCAATATAAGCAGGAGCACGACTTGAAAAACCCATCTATCTGTTGTCACTGTGCAAAAACCAGTCATAGCTGTAGCATGTCACCACACAGGCCACCACRGAACTGATGTTTGAATAATTCCTCCCTTAAATCATAATGAGCTGGGGCTTCTTTTCACAGGAAAGTAAAAAGCACCAGTTTTCCCTASTTTCTAGAAGGGCTTTAACGAGCCTAAAAGCCCTGTAACACACTCAACAGTCTCTTCCACAAGCAGGACATCTGTGTTCTGAAATTAGCCTGCAAAGCAGGTTTATCTGTAAAATAATCCTTTAAATCATATCCTTGATCTACAGATATGCCAGGACATGGGACATATGACAATGCACARACGGACAAGCCCAGACCTCAGAAAAAGACTGCAGACTGATTTCACACTCCTCCCCAAAGCTCAAGAAATGCAGTTCTGCTGCACACCACCTGACTGCGATGGCAGAACCTGWCAGGGCTTTGCAAATCTGCAGTTCTGCTAATTCACCTCTTCCCACCTGATTTGCCATTGCATTGGAACCAAACACTTTCATYCTAGACCTCAGGAGAGACAGGACAAATAGCAGTCCAGCTGCGGAGCACAGGTCTATTTCAGGAGAGAAGGTTTCTGCCTGTAATTCTGCTACAGATTTTTATCTGCCTGTGAGAAAGGCTTCATTTTTCCTTCATAGGAAGCATGCGTCAAGGAGATGCTGAGAAAAGCAAGCTGCAGTGGAACAGTTCTTTGCCATTTCATCAGTGAATGAAGGGCATTCCTACACTCCAGACTCTGTTGGGAAATGAAAAATCCAAGGAAAACCGTGAGTCACAGCAGCAGCTTCCCAAGCAGCTCAGGCAGTAACACTGCCATTAAAAGCAAAAGCAAGAGAAACCCTCTGCACAGCACAGGAATCACTGCTGGGAGCTGCTGCCCTCTGGTGCCACACGAAATATAACAGCAGCAGATTCCTGCCATGAGCTCCACCTAGGGAAAGACACCACCAAATCCACCACAAGGCCCCRGTGCAGCCAGGGGGTTGCCCAGACCTCTCCATACTGGTCTTGCRGGTCTATAAAATCCCTGCCCCTCTTGCAGGGCATCCCAAGAGGCATCTCACATGCCAAACTGAGTCTAAAGGATGATTTTACCCAGCCTAACTTCACTGCAGTTGTCTTAGAAGAAAAAGGGATTAACCACCGGGTCAGATTTACCGCATCCCTTGCTMTTGTTCTTTACATCATCATTTTGGACTGTGCACATCGCCGGGGCAGAGGCAGGCAGATATTCTGCCCTTACCGCAGCACCTAAACCATACTGAAGGAATAAAACACATCCCTGCCACCCCCGTGGCCACACATAGACTTCTCATCTCTACCTCCACAGAGGYAGTGTGGCAGAGAGGCTGTTGCCAAGTATTTTCTACACCCACCCCATTCGGGAAGCGCAAGGGACAGCCGAGCGGATGCCCCCGGCTCCRCTGTACGTGCCCAGTCTGTACAGAGACCAGCACCCTTTATCTCCCCCCCCATACACCCCAACTTAGCTTGGGGTAGCTGAGAGGCGGTGGATCTGTCAACTCACCTGACTTCTTCACCCGCAAAGTCAAACACTTTGGTGATGGTCAGTTTTCCTGCATTTTGGGGCTTCCCGGCCTCTTTTGATTTCTCCTCAGGCTTCTTCACACTCCCTTCTTCAGCCTGTAAAATATACGAAGGAAAAGCAAACAAACAAACAAAAAAATAGAAAACAAAACAAACACCAAGCACCTCCAGTGGCCAAGAACCCAACACGGAGCTAAGGTAATGCTGCAATTTAGGCTTGCAGGTCACCCATGGAGAAGAAAAAATAAGGCCCTGCTGCTAACAGGAAATTCTCCACTTGAGCTCCAGCCTCTCACTGGAGGCCAGAGATCAGAACAGACCCCAAACCAGACAAGGAGTGATAATTAAACACCACAATGAGCATAAAAGAAAAGCTGTGGTTCAAAAACCAAACAAGCTAAAGCCTGGAGACCAATTATTTTTTTCACCCCAAACTAACCCCAACCATACAGTAATCCTGCTAGCACAACTTACCTAGAAAGAACTTAATTTTGACCAAGAATACAGGAGAAACAACCCATAAGGAACAAGAGTAAAGCTCATTTCTCCCCAAAAATCCTTGAGSAGATTAACCTACGTCAACAATGCCTCTAAACAGCTTTTAATGGTATGCATTAAGAAACGCCCCTTACATAATCAAGGGAGYAACTTCCATTTTGGTTTTTAATCAACCACACATTGCACAGATCTTGAAGATAATTTAAGTAGCTCAACAAAAAGAAAAAAAAAAGAGCAGAGGAACAACATCTGTCCAAAAASTAGCTTTGACTACCAAGGAACTTCCAAAGCTCATTTATGGTTTTAGTATTTTTTCCAATAAAAACAGCAATGCTCAAAGGAGAGATTTTTCTTCCTCCTCCTCCTCTTTCTTTTTACACCCAAGTGCCTCAGCTGCTCAGCCAGGGACAACTCTGGGGGGACAGTGAGCATGAGAGCTCAGCTAAAGGGATTCTTCCTCTACCAGTTACAAGCGAAGCAACCACAAAGCCGCAGGAGTCCTGTGATTTAAACACCGTGGCAAAAACGAAGTTCACGCAGGGGCGAGGAGGACTTTGTGCTGGACACGTCGCGCTGCTTCGCGGGCGCCAGCCTCCCTCTCAGGCTCAGGAGGGGAGGCGCCRGCCTCGCCACGCAGCCTCGGGCCCACAAGCACAGCGCGGGCAGCACCTCATCGCGCTGCTCGCGTCTCTCCAAGGAAATTCCATGGCCAGGAAGGGAGGACGACCACGGCACAGCCCGAGCAGCTCCAGAAGCAGCACTAGGAGACCACGGATCCTCCCTGCTCCCCTAGGGAGCGGCTGCTTCCAGCCTGCCCGGGGCTGGGCTCCGTGCTGGGGGTGACGATGAGGAGGGAACAGAGCTTTCCCGCTGCTCCGCTCAACGGCTCCTCCCAGCCGGGCCGGCAGCTTCATCCCTGCACTGCGTGTGCTCGGAGCCACCCCAGGGCCCCGGCTCTCGGGTACCTGGGCTTGGGCGGCCGTCGACGCCTTGGGCCTCTGCCCCACGTCGCTAAGGAAGCTGGCCCACAGAGCATCCTCCTTCTTCCTCTCTTCCTCTTCCCTGTCCCTCCGCGCCTGCTCCAGGCTGTCCGCCGCCTCCTCGCCGTTCGGCTGCGCCTCCTCTTCCTCTCCGCCGCCCGCCTCTAGCAGGAGGCCCCTTTTCTTCCTCCTCCTGGGAGCAGAGGCGGGCGGTGAGCGGGAGGCGGCGGGATTCCCGGGAAGCATGGGGGCTGCGGGACGGGACCCACCGCGCGGGGCAGGGGCCGCCCGTACCTGCCGGCGGCGCGGCGCGGCCTCGGCGCCGCCGCCTCCTCCGCCACCAGCTCTGCCGCGTCCTCCTCGCTGTACTCGGCACCTGCAACACAGCCCGTGAGCGCCGCGCCGCCGCCGCCGCGCGCCCCGCCGCCGCCGCTGCTCACCCGACGGCACGTAGTCCTCGTCCTCCTCCGAGGAGTAGTCCTCCGAGGCCGACATGCTGCCCGCCACGGCAGGGACCGGACGGGACGGGACGGACAGGGGAGGGACGGAGGCTCCGCTGGCCCCGGAACCGCCGCCCCGGAACCGCCGCGCGCGCCCCTGCGCAKGGAAGTAGCCACGGCGCCCGGTGGGGAGGCGGGCCGTGGGCGGCGATTGGCGGCGGGAGCTGCCCGTCACGGCGCGGCGCTCGCGATTG